CCAACATAGGCCAATCAGCTAACCAGTATTTTCGCCCCTTCCCAAAATTACTTCAACGGAAGGTTTCCAGATGGATATGCGGAGCAAGTCCATCTTGCGGAGTCAGGTTAATATATCGAGGCCCTTGGCTTGAATCCAGCCAGCTATCGTTAAGGAAGCACATGTTCTTTTAAAGTGTACAAACTACCTGAGCAGCGCTCTTTGTAAAAGAAATGACGAAATTAAGTTGCATTTACTCTAGCTGTAACTTAGACACTTAGACTTAGACTACACAGAGTTTATACAAAAAATGGTTATGTATAGCTTTAAGAACATTACCATTCTTTAAAATGCAGCAGTGATCAAATGTAAATATGTGCGAGAGAAAACAAAAGCAGGAAATGACGCACTAGATGATCTGAAAAAAAAAAAAGATGTCTAATTGGAAAAAGCCTTTTAACAGACTCATCATGATCATTTTTTCCAATTTCCTCCAGGTTCCAATAATTCTTTCTTCTTGAAAAAACTAAAACCATATACTAGCAAGAGAGTGTTATGGTATTAATTTTCTTTATCAGGGGAAAAAAAGATTTTGTGATAAACAAATTGTGAACCATTTTTAAGAGGATAAGGATACATTTTATGGAAGCAAATCATTACCATATTTCAAATGAAAAAGCATTTTCAGAAATGCTTTTTCATTTTAAGAATGTGGCTGAATAGTTTGACTTAAATGAAATTAGTAATCAATAATCCTGTTTGCATTTTGATTTTCTTCTTTAACACTGCTCATCCTTTTACTCAATTAAAATGAAAAAGAAAAGAGATTTATTTTTCAAAATGTACCCCAGCAAATATATACCAAAATTCTATTTGAAATGTAAAATTTAAATATTTTAAGAATGTGGCTGCATTACTTGACTCATAAATGAAATTAGTAATCAATCCTCCTATTTGCATTTGCATTTTCTTCTTTAAGATTGCACATTTTATGCCATAATCAAAGAGAAAACACAGCGGACATTGCTTTTTCGTTTTCGTAGTCTGCCTGTAAAGTACTGTCCATAACTCGAAAACGAAAAAATATTCTGAGCGGCGGGGGCAGCAGAGTGACGTCAGCAGCCGCTCTTCCTCAGGTCCTTGCTGACTGGGCTATCCATCTTGTTCCGTAGGGGGCGCTGTGCACGTCTGCAATGCATTACATTGCATTACATAGAGGCAGATTGTTTGATTGCTTTTTTTTTTTTTTTGCATTTTTACCAACTTTAGGATAAGAACCAGAAATTGTATTTAACTTGAATTTAAGCAACACTAAGTCATTTTGTAACTAGTATTATCTTATTTTGAGCTATCNACCAACTTTAGGATAAGAACCAGAAATTGTATTTAACTTGAATTTAAGCAACACTAAGTCATTTTGTAACTAGTATTATCTTATTTTGAGCTATCATAATGATTTTTCAGGTCAATAAAATGCACCTGCTACCTATCCATGCTCTGTGCAGGCTGCCCTTCTTAAAAACTCACCCATGTAAGCGTTAGAGGGGTGGATATATTACTGAATTAGTCATGGGACCCAGAAAGCCAAAAACAAGAACAAAAAAAAATGCATCAAAACAAATATGAAATTTGCCTGATCAGACATATTGTTGGTTCTCTGATTCAATTTAATCCAGAGAGGTTCAGTATTTTTTTCTTTACTAGAAACTCCATGATTTCTCAATCTGCTGGTCCAAACTAGGTTTAGCGCCCCCGGTGGCTTAAAATGACACAGCTCTGCTTTAAAGTTGTCTAAAGTCTAAAAAGACTAAAATATCCTTTTCTTGCAGCTGGATTCAGTCAGCAGATGAAACCCAAAATACTGATGGCAAAATGGCGATATAAAGATGATCCGTTCAACTTGACAATTAGAAAATAGAAAAATATCAATAATTAAGCATTAATAGGCTTTCAAAGTTTTCATTCTCTTTTTTATTTTCTAATTACATCTCCAGACGTGTAAAATTTAAAGTATAGAAAATATTTTGGTTGATTATGATGAATTAAATATAACCTAGATTTAATTTTGCTTATGTATCATCTGTTTTTCTTTTTTTATTTGTTAGCATCGGCTCAGACCCCCACCTCAGTGACCAGCAGCCAGAATGCTACTGTAACAAACACCACCACGACCCAGAACGCAAACACAATTAACAACTCGACTGTTTCTGTTACTTCAAACATGGCAACAAACCAGAGTACAACCCTCTCAACTCCAGCTAACTCAACGACAAACATGACCACGACCCTGAGCCCAAACTCAACAACTGCTTCAAACCTGACCACAACTCCCAGTACAAACTCAACATCAACAGTCAATAATGTCACAGGTACATCCACCATGAACGTGACCACAACTCCCAACACAAACTCAACATCAACAGTGGATAATGTCAATGGTACATCCACCGTCAACTTGACCACAACTCCCAGTACAAACTCAACATCAACAGTGGATAATGTCAATGGTACATCCACCGTCAACCTGACCACAACTCCCAGTACAAACTCAACATCAACAGGCAATAATGTCACAGGTGCTTCTACTGTGAACCCAACCGCTACTTCAAGCACTACAAGCACAACCCCAACAACGACACAGAGGCCCAACCCCACCACAAACCCAACGACCAGCCTTACAACCAGCACTGCCCCCAGCGGCAGCAGCGGCGGCAGCGGCAGCAGCAGCGGCAGCGGCGGTGGGGTTCCTGGATGGGCCATTGCCCTGCTGGTTCTGGCTGCTTTGGTTCTACTGCTGCTCCTCCTGTTTCTTATCGCTCTGGTGAGTGAACAAATAATCTGCATAATGAACCTTTGGATTATTCCATTTTATCTTTGTTTTATTTCATTCTTATTTTCTATATCAAGATGCTCTTATTTGAATTTTCTGCTTTTACTGTCATTTGCTGGTAAAGATTCTCAGTCATCCAGGTCATAGCAATTTCAAAAAAGTAAAAAAAAAAAACAATCCTCTGGACTTTGTTTCCAAGTTTTAAGACGTTTCGCTTCCCATCCAGGAAGCTTTTTCAATTCAACGCCGCAATAGAGTTGATTCCTTCCAGCTATCATCCCCAACCCCATGCAGGGGAAAAACCATCCCCCTTGGGTAGCCAGGCCAACAATTACCCCTAACGACCCCCCTTTCAGAGGCATAGACCAGTATCAGGTATTGCAGGCTAAAAATAACCCAAACAACTCCCCATTTGTAGGGGTGGATCCGTTCTTTTGGTTCAATTTGCGTGGTTTCTTGGCTACCATATAAAAGCTTCAAACTCAATGCTAATTATGACATTTTGAATTACAAAAGCTTCCTGGATGGGAAACGAAACGTCTTCAAACTTGGAAACAAAGTCCAATGGGTTGGTTTTTGTTTTTTTGTTTCTTTTTTAAATGGTTTTAGTGTGGCAAGCAAAGGTTAATTCGGAAAGTGGCTCTTTAGGAGGATTTACTTTGAAATCACCATAGCTGACAATAATGAAATCCCAGTTTCTTTGAACTCATCAGCTGATTGAATATCTTGTCTGTTAAATACTATTTCAACAGATGAGAGAAAACATACATTCCAAGAGGTGGCACAATGTTAAACCAATATTTGGTGTCAATACTTTGTAAAAAAAACGATCTGAAGCAGAAAGAAATTAAAAAAAATAATAATCAAAGGCCATAAGGATTGACTCTTCTGAGTCAGGGACTCTGGATTATCTGCCAGACTTTTTTACTTTTTAACAGTTTGTAGTCTCAAACAATCAGAAAAAACAGCTCTCACACCATTTGAGGTGCAGCAGCTCTGAATAAGGAAAATAAAATAAGTCTGGGTGCATCTCTTGATTACTTTGCTCTATTTCAGAATCAAACTTTTTCATATCTTAAAGGAATAGTACACCCAAAACATGATTAGCCTTCATTTTCTACTCACCCCCATGCTGAACAACACTCTGGAGTACTTTTTTG